GTTTGCAATGCAATTTTCAATTCTTTGGGGAAATACTGTCAATTAAATTTAAGTTCACAGCTCTTTCCCATTTTTCAAAATTGGTTTAAAAACAAAAAAATATCAACATTTCACTATTTTTACATTGTTTTTTATTTTTTATTTTTTTATCTTTATAAAACTTCAAGGTTTGATATCATGAACGTATTATCAAGGATAAGAGCTTTCGAATGATATAAAGATTACAACCTTTTAATCAGTATGGTTGTTGAAATAAATTCAAAAGAAATTTTGGATGCAAACTTTTGTCCACCGAGTGTATATTTGCGTTGCAATAAAATCAAAGACCCGGGATTCCACTCGATGAGGTATATATTAAAAGCATATTCTGAAAATTCGAACCTTATTCAGGAGTTAAAATCTCAATGCTTCGCATTGGAATAATGCGCTTAAATTTCCGGATAAAAACATAGTAGTGGGAGCATGATTGTAAATAGGTAATAAAAATGTAACATATAACGCATATATACAGAGTAGCCTCATTTCATGAATGTCTTTATGCTCCGCATATTGTTTTTTTTTGGTATTTTATTTGATTAAACGACCAAGAAATATTTGTAAATAAATTCAATAAATACATAATGACAATCTTTTAAAAATAAAAAATATATTCAAGAAATTTTTTCACAATTACTACATTGACAGTTTAAACCTCTCCAGATATTATTAGTTATAGTACCATCATAACATTTGCGAGGACCTTTATAAGCCCCTTGATCACATGCACAATCCTGACAATGATAATTTCCGTACCCTCCCTCGTCAGTACAGGAACCTAATATTATTTAGATTAATAAAATAAATTTATTGAAAAAAAGTATCATGATAGAATTAAAATATTTTACAGTCAAACATCGTAGTAGGGCATCGATAACAAGCAAGACAACTAATTGATAACGACGTTGGTATAAAGAAGATAGCAATAAGAACCAATAAAATTACTGCTTTATTTTTTACTGCCATTATTAACAGAAGACAAGATATAACTTAATTTTTTTGAATTATATTTATACCAAATTTATTAGATAAAATAAATGCATACATAAATAGCCAATCTTGCATCAAACGCCTTTTGTATTTATAAGGTGATCTTTTTTAGAAGTTTATTAAATACATAAATAGCTAATCTACATCTAATGCCATTTATATTAATGTGATCTTTTTATTTGTATAATTAATTGATAATAATAATAATAATAATGAGTGTCCCATAAATTTGTTGAAACGAGATTTGTTTGTTATTTTTCAAAAAAAAATTCTCAAGCCGATAATACTATATTAAGTATTCGTCATGAGTGCCCACGAGTACCCGAATTATGACAACTTTCGAATATGCAGTTTTCAGAAAATCTGTAATATGTAATCTATCTATAATTCTGCAAATACCCGTAAACACTTGCAAATACCTGTAAATACTTGTAAATACCTGTAAACACTGCAAATACCATTTTATGGTAAAATGAGAATTGCGCATTGTAAATAATTTAAAAAATTTTTTTTATCAATAAAATGGGCACGTCGTTAAAAAAAAATACTGAAATTTTAACATGACGTGATTGTTAATCACTTTGTTACTTAATTTCACAAAATTTGGAGCTTTCAAAATGCTAAGGCTCTGTCAATTTTTAGTTTAAGAAAAAACTAGTCGATAAGTTTTGAAACTCGAGTCATGGACAATAAAACTCATCGGTTAACTTTTTTAAAATGATATAAAATTTTTTTTTTTTAGTATTTTGAAGCTGGCCAATTGTTACTATAAGCAATTAATTGATTATCATTCACTTCCCATTATTAATATGAAAATGATCCTTCGGGACATTGTCTGTCCCTGCTACTATTTTCATTTAACTTATCTATAATAAGACCTGCCTTTAGATTTGCTGATTATTATTTATAACATACAGGTAATGAATTACAATTTAACTACAAGCAATTCAAGATTTGATGAGATGACATTGTTAAATCAAAAGAATTAAAAAGTTATAATCAATATACTAATAATTCATAAACCTTTTAATAGTAAGCTAATAGCAAATAGTTAATAATAAATAAATAGCAACATCCGCCAAGAGTAGAGTGATCGACTATATGACAAGATAAACTCAAAAAACATATTCTTTTTGTAGGTTATTGATAAAAATCTTCAAAAGACAGTAAAACTCCCACGAATATATCTATTTTTATTAAAGTAGAACCAAGCAGAAAACAGTGTAGGTTTATTGTAGTGTTAGAACTTAAATTGTTACTGCTGCTATTTTTTCTTTATTATTATAATCATAGAAAATTTTGGTTTTTGAAAATTTATCCGCTAAACCCCAAATCCGCTATACCGAGACTCACTGTGTAGTATATGGAGGCATTCATGTTCAATAAAAGGATTAAATAGTAATCAAGGTTGTGTGACGAAAATAAATGTGACGAAATAGAGTCTTTACACTTTGAGTAATTTGACGAAAGTGACGAAACTGATGAAATCAACAAAACAATAAAATAAACCATTTATTTTGTAGATTTTAAATTATGGAGTAAATAAAATTCATGATGTCAAATCCTAATTCACTTAATTCATCAATTCCTTCTCAATCATCATCATATAATATGAATTTGCAAACATTAAAATTAGATAATATACCTGAAAGTTCATTTAACAATAATCAAGAATTAGCTACAGGACGTCCTGTGTCTGATGTATGGTTACACTTCTATTTATTCAAGAGAATAGTGACGATAACATAATAATAAAGAGACATAAGTTAATTCGCAATTTGTGACAAACGGAAAGAGTTGAGTTAGAATTTGACATCATGAATTTTATTTAAAATCTACAAAATATTTGGTTTATTTTATTGTATCGTTGTTTTCGCCACTTTCATCACTTTCGTCAAATTACTCAAATCCTATTTCGTCACCCAAGCTTGATATATAACCTTCGTGATCTTGTAAAGAAAAATTAATATATATAATTTTTCTCGTGGGATCAGATAGCTAACTTGACAAACCTTCATGATCCCATTAAAAAATACAAATCACAAAAAAAAATGATAATGAAGTTCCTGAGGTTGTGGTGGTGAATAATATTTGATTCTTTTTTTTAAAAAAAGGAATGATGGTAACAACAATCCTTTTTTTTAAAAAAAATAATAATGGGTCACAAGTTGTGCACCTGCTTTATAAGAACCTTGAAAATAACTCACATTGAGACAAGACATTCTTAATTTTTCAACAATGTCTGAACAAACTAAGTTTACATGATATGTGAACATTGTTCTGTAATTATTTTTTTTTTCTAGTTACATGTAGCTTGCACCATCACTAACAACAGCAGAGAATCTTTATGGTCCAATTTCTTCAAGAATTCTTCACCAAAAAATGCACCAGTCTGAGAATAATGTGAAAAATCCTTAATTGAATGAACAAATTGTTTTCGTAATGGAATGACAATCTCTTGAAACCTCTTTATCTATCAACATTGTACTCAATGTCTTATTATCTGATGGATTATAAGCAGGGTCAAATTTTTAATGAAATCCCAAAAAAAAAAACACATTTTCAACTATTGCAAATGGTATGCCACAACACACAAAAAATTTTGTTAATGCATTACCACACAATTTTGATTTCCCTTGGCTTATATTACATTTTTGAAAATTTTTATTGGTTATTCTTGGCTGTACACCACTAGCAATTTCTAAATCTAATAGTTCTTTAGAGGAATTGTTTTCACTCCACATTTCTCAGTTTTGTCGAGTACAATTATTTTCAATCAAATTTCAGTATTATTGTTACTATAATTTTCTTCGGTTATTCAAGTAATATTGAGTTTTTGCTTCTATTTTTAATTGTGAATTTTTTCTAATTCTTTAAATTCTTCAACTCCGATTATTAGAAAACCTCAAATATAATAATATAATAGGAAATTTGATGTTAATATAATATTAATATTAAGGATTTTTTCATCCAGATTGGTAACGAGTTAACCCGCTAAAATATATTATTATTATTATTATACAATACAATGCCCGTATGTGGGAATGAAATGAGTGGATTCCAACCAAATTTGGGAGATTGTTTGCAGCAGTAGGTCAAATAAAATAATTAATAAGCGAAAGTGAGTCTTACAATGCTATTTTTTTTTGCTTCTATATAACTAAAAATTGATTGATTTTTACTTTATTTATTATCAATTTCGAGTTACACGTGTTAGTTTGTATTACATAAAAATGTGCAAGTTCAGATAATTATAGAAAAAAAATCCATCCTTTTGAAATATGAAATTTTTTGTTATACCTTTATTTAAAAATCAATTAACATATTATTGTCTCAGTAATTTTGATAAACCACCAACTTATCTATCAAAAGCATCAGATTTAGCTGCAAGAAAATGGAAAGAGTTATCATACGCAGAGAAAAAAAGTATAAAAGGTCGAGTTTATAATGCTGGTCAGAAATTATTGGATAGAATGGATTATCAAGAATATTTTCTAAAAAGTATACCAATTCGTGAAGGAAGAGTAGTAGATGGTGATGTTAATAAAGATGATAAAAGTAAAGTAAGTTTATTATTATTTAATTATAAAGATAGTAAAAGAAAAAGAAATAGAGATAGAGATAGAGAGAAAGAGGAGCATTGTCTTTTCATATACACAAATAAAACGAATAGAAAAAGGAAAAGAAAGAAAAACACATAATACAAGTATTAATTAATTTATTAATTTCTTCCCTCCCCTCCCTCCTCCTTCTCATCTTACCTCTCTCTTTCTCAGGTACCGTTACTATATCCTTCTAAAGTGGTAACACCAAATCAAATCATTTTAAATATTGAACAATTATTAGAAAGAAAAATACCGTATCAT